ACAAACTGCCAGTCCCCTTTCAATCCAATCTTGCAAAAGAAGCATTTAAAAAAAAACATGCACTCCAGTTTGCTTAATCCAGATTAGTTGCTCTTCTACATCTTTTAATTATTCTCTCTGGGACAAAGCTGGGGCTTGTGAACAAATATAGTTTCTCCACTTTTCAGATGCCAAGAGAAGTTAAAACGGCCAATGCACTTTAGCAATTGCTCATATGAAAGCAGAAAGCCATTCTTTTCATGAGGAAAAATAAAAGATCAAATCTTATATAGGGCTGCTGGGGGGGGCGGGAAGAAAATTTCTCTGGGTAGCTGTCAAACCTGCAGTTCAATGCATTCCAATGGGGGAGAAAAAAATTCACCAAAAATTAACAAAGAGTCAGAACAAAGCCAGATTAAGTTTGCAAAAGGTTTACAAGGTGCACTAACGATTCCAAGTATTCAAAAGAGTTCTTGAACATTTTAAGACACTTTTAAATTAGCGAAAACAGACATCGTTAAGCGAAACAGGGGGACCTAAACTGTCATCGTTAAGCGAAGCAAGGTCCCGAAATCGCTAAGCGAAAATCGCCCATAGAGAACATCGTTAAACAATGCGGAAAATTCCTCAAAAAAACCCATCGCTAAGCGAATACATCATTAAACGAGGCAATCGCTAAGCGAGGCACCACTGTAATTGAGTTGGAAGGGGCTACGGAGGCATCAAGTCCAAACCTCTGCTCAACACAGGAATACAATTCAAAGCAGATCTGACAGAGGGTTATCCAGTTTCCTCCTGAATGCTTCCAGTGTTGGAACACTCACCACCTCCCATAGTAATTGGTTCCACTGTTGTACTGCTCTAACAGTTAGGAAGTTTTTCCTGATATTCAACCGAAATCTGGCTTCCTTTAACTTGAGCCCATGGTTGCATGTTCTGCACTCTGGGATGATCAAGAACAGATCCTGCCCCTCCTCTGTATATCTTTCAAGTATCTGAGGCGTGCCTTCCTATCTCCCCACAGTTTTCTTTTCTCAAGGCCCAGTTCTTTCAGTCTTTCCTCCTAGGTCTTGGTTTCCAATCTTCTTGCTCTCCTCTAACTTGCTACAGTTTGCTGGCATCCTTCGTGAAGTGTGGTGTCCAGAACTGGACACAGCACTCTAGGCGAGGCCTACCTTGTAGTCCAAAAGAGTAATTTTTCCAAGTTCTAGCCTCTGAAAGCCAGGGACACAGGAAACAAACAGGAAAAGTGTCACTGCTTTACATGCCTCTTCCCCTGAGCTTCCAAAAAGAATCTGTCTGCCCATAACAGAGAGACTGAACCAGATGCAACCTTTGGCTTCTGTGTTTTAAGACCCTCAGCTTGTTTGGTGTTACCAACTTCACCAGTATCAGATGAAGGCCTGATTGGAGACAACAAACCAGGAAATCATTATGGATGGAAAAATTCCCCTGCTCCTGACCTTGGAAGGATAACACCAAGATGACATATTAGAACTCAAAATTTGTTTATTGTGTTTAAGTCACGGGGTGGAGGGAGGGAAATATGAGTTCCCCTCCACAATGAAAAGCCCAGTGAAGAAAGAGTGGACAAACATGGGTCACCTAACTGGAAACCTTTGTGAATAAGAAAAACAGAATGTCCCCATTCATTAGCTAATAAAACATGAGATATTTTTGAGGAACAGTCAACTGGAGATTAAGATACTGAATTAGAAGGCATTTTATCTTTGTTTTCTGCAAAGCAGAGCTTTCTGAATGGTCCTTTGAGCCCTACACTGGCATATATTCAAATTCCAATAATATGTGTGACTACTTGAGCAAGAAAGGAAGAGGCTTGAGGAAAGAATGGTGGAAGACACAAGTAAAGCATTCGAACACGTTGGCCTGTCTACTCCATCCCATTTACCAGATGGCAGAGAGGCTGTGATGCCAAGCACACTCCTGCTTGTCTTCACCTGCTTTTAACTCCCCATCAGTTCCCACAAAGACTTTGCTAAAACCATTTCTGCTTGACCTAGTTTGTCAATAAACTTAATAGCTTTTAAAGTTAGGGCAATTTTTCCCTCTCTTTTTCTGCACTCTTCAAGTATACGGCTGCAGACAAAAGCAGAACAAGATGGTTTCCCCAATGCTAGCTACAAATCTTACGGGATGCTAAAATTTAAGTCAAGGTGTATCTAAATGATCTGCACTTGAACAAATAAAGGTAGTGATCAACCCACCCCAAGATGGAGTTACAGAGTTCTATTACTGTTGGCACCACTCAACAGAACTGTCTCAGCTGCTGTGATGGCCCTGGGAGTCTGAGAGCATCAGGGTTGGGCCCTGGTGGGATTCTGGAAGACGGCTGGAAGACGGCGGTGGTGGTTTCTTGCAGCTCCTGAGGTTAGGACATGAAGTAACAGATTTAAATTACAGGAAAGGAGCTTTCAGTACAAAAGTAGAACCTCGTGAGAGCTGTTTGGCAATGGAATCGACTGCCTCATAGAATGGTGAATTCTCCAGCGTTGCAGGTGTTTAAATAGAAGTTGGATGTCCAGCTGCTTGGCAGGGGATTGGACCCAATGACTCCCAATGACCAATGATCTCTTCCAGCCCTAATTTACTATGACTTGCCCCCAAACTGAATTCATGAACTTGACGCCAAAGAGCTGCACCCCAGCAAACATCATGTAAAAGGACCAAGACAACACTGCCCAGAGGGTATTTATTCTTGCCCAATCCCAGTGCAAGCCTACCATGAAATTTCGATGTGACTTGAAGAAAATGTTTTACATGTTTCAAATCTTTTATCTTGATGTGTTTTTAAGCTTTGCGTTACTGCCTACTGGTATTTTATTGTTTCTATTCTTTGTTATGTTAAATGGTATTTGATTGGTTGTATACATGAGTTGTAAAACACCCCCCCCCAGTGGCCTCGACCAGATAGGTGGTATGTAGGTAGGTAGGTTAAAATAAAATAAAATAAAATAAAATGCTGAAATCACAAAAGGCAGCCAGCACAAAGAAGAACATGAAGGACACAGAAAAGGAAGCATGCCCTCAGAAACTGAAGCTGCCACACATGCATTATTTACATCCATCAGAGAGAGAGTCCTAAAGAGAAATAATCCATCATCATCATCATCATCATCATCATCATCATCATCATCATCATCATCATCATCATCATCATCATCATCATCATCATCATCATCAATAATAATAATAATAATAATAATAATAATAATAATAATAATAATAATAATAATAATAATAATAATAATAATAATAATAATAAATACCAGGCACAGTTAATCAAAATTATATGAACATTGACTGGTATTACATCAATCTAAAAACACTAAAAACATCTATTAACATATATATAAAACTACATTCATACATCTTCTTAGATATCTCCTGCCTCCCTATCATAGACTTATCTATTGTAGCTTGCATAGAATGACAGAATTGTTACTCTGAAGCTTATAGAGCCTGTGTGATCACTAAGGCCTCTACAAGTATGCACCAATTTACAGATACTATAGCTGCGCTTCGGGTGGAACCTTTCCTTCACGGATTTTGATTGCAGCAGCACAGAATTTAGCTACTTTTGTCAGCATATTTGAATTTTGGTTTAGCCCAGTATATCTGCCAGGGCATCGCCCTGTCAGCAAAAGCAGTGTGTAATGTGCCTCTGATCGTCCAGAAAATGCCCTTATATAAGGGTTAACAAGGACTTCTCGATTGCCAGAATAAAAAGCACAATGAAGTAACACATGGGAGATAGTTTCAATCTCACCAGAGTTACAGGGGCATATATGCTGAGTGTTAAGGGGTGTTGTTATACTTCCCTTCCTGGACTGCTAATGGAAGTGCATTGAAGAAGGCCAGAGTAAGAGCTTTGCATTGTTTAGGTGTTAAGGGTAAGTAAAGATATTTAGCCGGCTGGGGTGGGAGCAGTGCATTGTCAAGTATAAGCGTATTTATGATAATACCAAGGTTCTGCTGCCTTTCTGTCTCAATAATACGCTGCCTAAGATTACTCTTGGCATTTGTTGGATACATTCTATTGAATAGATGTATCTGTTGATTTTATGGTATATTGCTCTCTTCCATGGTGAACCCACTTTGTTGAAGCATAAAGACAAGCATGGGGTGTCTCTAAACACCCAGAGAAGAGCTGATTAGAAAAGCAGAATCCTAGAATGACCTTCCAGGTCCAAATCTCAATTCATGGCATGTACCAAGAAAAGAAGATACCAAAATCTGAGGGAACACAGCTATGCCATCAACAAGGTGACAAAACTCAAAACTAATCTGTTTTCTTCGTGAACCAGAAGCAGATTTTGAATCACTGTTTGAGAGCTTCCATCTCATCTGAGAAAAACCCTTAGAAAACATCAGATTACCATTTTAAAAGGAAGTGTCATCATAAGAAATGAACAAAACCTAAAGGCGTGATATATTCACTGCCCCTCCACACCCCAAGAATGAATCAAAAGAACTAAATTTAGAGCATTCCTGTTACAAACAGGGCACTGGTTTGTCATTTTAACTGGTATAAGTGAGAGACACCCCCCTAAAGGAAGCCACAGGCTTGAGTTTGCAAGAGCTGTTGAGGACATAATATTTTGTAGACTGCAAATTCATAGAGGTTGCCCTAAGTCATAGGCGACCTGGTGGCACATAACAAGAACACCTGAGATAAGGTAGTATATATGTACCTACCAAATAAATAAAACACATATTGATTTTTCTAATCAAGTATTCTTTCCCTATATAAATCACGGGAGAAGTTCTGTCCACTGGAAAATCTTCAAAAAAGAAAAGAAAACCCCCACCAGATTTTAAATGGGACTGTTTTTCAAACTTTGTTTACCTCCATGGTGCCTTGAAACTTTAGTCTTTAAACAAAAAGATCCAATGTAACTACTAAGAATCTTACAAGTGCCTACACAGATAAAGACAGCCTAGAGCCACAGTGACTTACAGACTAGTCTACACAAAGGAGAACATGGATGGAATTTCTATACCAAGAGCTCGTCCATGCTGGTCTGACACTTCTCAAGGTTGATCCGCTTAATTGCCACCTTCTCTTTCTTCGGACTACAATAGGCCGCTTGGACGACAGCTGTGGCTCCACTTCCTGAGAAAGAAAGGGGGGAAAAGTTACCAAGTTAAGGAGAAGTGTTCGGTATATTGGGTAATTTATCTCTGCAAAGAATGATATGAAACATTGAGATCAGTTACAGTTAGCCGTCCTTCGGTCTTGAGAGACTATGGGAACGTGCTCTGAATAGAGGTCTTGGAACAGCGTCTAGTGTGGCTGAGAAGGCCAATTCAAGAGTGACCATCCCTTCCACACTGAAGAGAAACAGTCTGTCCCCTGTCCAGCTCCCTGGTTTTGCTGGTTTCGGGACTGCCTCTTGACCTCGGCCTGCTGGACAAGGGTGTCTTCAAATTGGGAGAGGCCGTGATGCACCGCCTGCCTCCAGGCTGAATGCTCAGAGGTCAAGGTTTCCCATCTGTTGAGGTCCAGTCCTAAGGCCTTCAGATGAAGCATTGAGATCATTCATTTATTATTTTCTGGAACTGATCTGTCTAGGGGAAAAATTAAAAAGACACACAATACTGCCTCCAAGCACTGCAGCTTTTTCCTACATACTACTTGTGAGTTGAGGCCTGAACCGTTTTTGACGGTACTTTGCAGGTGGAAGGTATATTTATACACACAAACTGTTAAACAGATCCCACAATGTTTTATACTTAAGAAACAACAAAGTCAATAAAAGCATGTATCAATCAGACAGAATCCCCTTAAATAAAACCACTTTCAACCAGCATCTCAAAGGCAGAAAGAAGGAGACAGGCTTTTCTATGGGAAAAACAGCAAAGTCTCTGGCCTTTAGCTGAAAAGGACTAATTGGTCTCTTCCTCCCTCCCCCCTCCCACTCCCAATACTTCCACACCACCTCCAGGAAAGCCTCTGTACACAGTACAGGCGTACCTCAGTTTACTAAATCATCCTCTGGGACATTACATCATGTGAAAAATTCATAAACTGGAATGCGGGCTGCCGCGGCAATGGTGGCAGCACTACAAACCTCCAGGCGCGTGGAAACTTCCTTCGCAAAGCGAAAGAAACAAACAAAAAAGTAAAACGAGGCATTATTCTGAATGGATTTCCGTTTATAAACCAGAAATTACGTAAACCGAGGCATATGTAAACTGAGGTACTACTGTACAGGTAGGTTTATAGTGGACAGATGGGGCTCATTTGGCCATGCCTGGCCATCAGGCATGGTCAGATGTTGGACTAAGATGTACGAGTTGATTTCTGGGTCATTTCCAATGGATTAGAAGACATATCTTTCCAATTCTCCGTGGTTCAAAAACATCAACAAAAAGGTCCTTTTCATGCATTCAGGGAATAGTGGGGTGTGGAAAAGAGACCTCCTCCAGATATACAAGAAAATATTTGCTGATGAGCCCAACGTAACTCAAAGAGGTCAGGACTATCTGTTGAGTAAGCCAAATTCAGCTTCATGTCTGCACCAAGTGGCGATACAATCCATCCTCAAGCGGACAAGAAGAAGATACATGCAGTAAAGTACTGTATGTAATTTACAAATGCACAGGATAGTCTCCTTTCTCAATGGGTATTTCAGTCTTTTAAGAGTTCTTCACTTTTTAAACTTGATTTATCATGGCACTCAGAAATGAGAAATGAGTAGCTTTGGCAGAGTTTCAGAATGAACCACCAGTAGAAGATAGTAAGTGAGCCAACAATGAAAAAATGCAGTAGGGTGGTTCCTTAATATCTTCCTAGTCTACACGTTCACTAGATGGTTAACTGTCAAACAGATAAACTGGTTTATTTATCTGTTTTTCATACCACCAATATTCACCATTCCCTGATTACCTAAGGCTATTGAGAACATAGATGAGAAAACAACTCTACCAAGAGATGATGATAAGGACAATAAGGTAACCCTAACCCTGCACTATGATGAGGAATGCAGGAAACTTATGATTCCTCCAGGCTGAACTTAGGTGATTTCCAGGCTGCCCAAGAAAAATGTTAATAAAAGGCATAGCTGCAATTCCTGAAATGACCGTTGCTGTGGAATTTAAATCATAAAATTCCTTAGAAGGAGCAGAGTCAGTGGGGGTGGGTGAGATGGAAGAACCAGAGCAAAATTAAAGATTCTAATAGATACAGCAAAACAAATCCAGCATTAAAAATGAACACTGAGAAGAAGGAAAAATTGGCTCAATCCAACAGCCTCTATAAGGGCTGAACTATAAATCTCATCATTTCTAGAAAGTACTGTACTGTATTCTGACACACCTGAAGGGCACCAGGCTGAGAAAGCCTGGGGTAAGCCAATGGAGCCTGTGTGACTCAGAAAGCAAGCCATACATCCCCCTTTCTTTACAAAGCTAAGGAGATTCTTTGCAATAGCGTGGCCGAAAGAGTAAATCACTTGCGCAGCTGAAGTTAAATCCATAAACAGAATTCTCTTGGTGGAAGACCACCTGGGAACGCTATCAAGCTGCGCAGCACTCCACAGACAGAAAAGAAAGCAAGTGCCATCTGTACGTAAATAGGCATACATACACACACACACACACACACACACACACACAGAGAGAGAGAGAGAGAGAGAGTTACAATTAAAAAGTCCTGCAAATCTGTGCACTCCATGCGCATCAGTCATTAGAAAGAACACCCACTACATTAAATTAAAATAAATAAATTAAATAGAAATATAAATAGAAGTCTTTACAGTGGGGTCTCTACTTAAGAACTTAATCCGTATTGGAAGGTGGTTCTCAAGTTGAAAAGTTCTTATGTTGAATCTGCATTTCCCATAGGAATGCATTGAAAACCATTTAATCCGTATCTGCTCTTTTCCGTTCATAGAAACTACAGTATTCCATATCTGAAAATGTTCCTAGATTCTTTCAGAGAGGCACAGAAGCAGAACCTACAGATCTAGGAATGAGGAAATAACTTAAAGCCAAGGCATGGCCACTGGTCCCATCACTTTCTGGCAAATAGAAGGGGAAGATATGGAGGCAGTGACAGATCTTACTTTCTTGGGCTCCATGATCACTGCAGATGGTAACAGCAGCCACAAAATTAAAAAATGCCTGCTTCTTAGGAGGAAAGCGATGACAAACCTAAACAGTATCTTAAAAAGCAGAGACCTCACCTTGCCGACAAAGGTCCGAATAGTCAAAGCTATGGTTTTTCCAGTAGCAATGTATGGAAGTGAGAGCTGGACCAATTGCTGACAAATTGATGCTTTTGAATTGTGGTGCTGGAGGAGACTCTTGAGAATCCCCTGGACTGCAAGGAGAACAAACCTATCCATTCTGAAGGAAATCAACCTTGAGTGCTCCCTGGAAGGGCAGATCCTGAAGCTAAGGCTCCAATCCTTTGGCCATCTCATGAGAAGAGAAGATTTCCTGGAAAAGACCCTGATGTTGGAAAAGTGTGAAGGCAAGAGGAGAAGGGGACAACAGAGGACGAGATGGTTGGACAGTGTCACCGAAGCGACCAACATGAATTTGACACAACTCCAGGAGGCAGTGGAAAACAGGAGGGCCTGGCATGCTCTGGTCCATGGGGTCACGAAGAGTCGGACATGACTAAACAACTAAAGAATAACAACAACAAGGTAGGAGGTGATGCCCATTTTTCTGCATACAAACTAGGGTAGAACTAGGCCCAATGGTAATCTCAGTTAAACTTTTGTCTTGTCATGGAAAGAGAAGAAATTTGTGTTTCTCTATTTTAAAAAGTTCCATTCTGCATCTACAGCAATGGAAAAAGGGCCTCTTGCCTCCAAAATCTGTACATTTCCAACTCCTGTGCTGCATTTTAGTGAAGAAACAAGATGTGTTCAAGACAAGGGCTGTAGGGGAAATGCATAATTTTAAAAGGCACTTTTTAAAGCAGGGGAAGAACCAGTCTTGCAACTCAGGAGGGAACCTGGGAAGAATTTGGTGGAGCCATTCTGAGAAACACACCAAAAAAAGGGAACTGAGAGATTTTCGCATCTCTATTTCAGGGTTTACCTCAGCCAAAGGAAAGCCCAAGGATCATAAGCTGAAAAAGCTTCCTGTGGCCAAATAATGGTCCTCCACCACCTTATCCACCTTCAGAAAATATTCCTTCTCCTTTACCCTCTGCTACTACAGCGGCTCTCCCAGAAAAAAAGACACAAACTACAACCCCCTTTTTCTACTCTTTTAAAAAGCCTCCCCTTTGAAACGCACACGACATTACTGTACAGACATTTCTGCTGAATACAGAACAAAGCCTGGCCTGCATTCTGGAGAAATTCACATTTTAAAAGGCCAATTTTTCAGCAGGGGAAGAACCAGTCTCGCATCTCAGGACGGAATCCAGAGCTGACAAGGCATGAATGAAGACAGGCCACTTTCATGATTCTGAAAGATGACACAGGTACAAAAAAAAAATACCCTGCTTTTCTTGCCAGCCCAGTCTCGTGCTCCCCCTTTAGCTCCTCAGGCTGGGGACAGATAGAAATGGAGAGTGACAGGTGTCTTGTGCATCTTGCCACTTTTGTTTATTTACTTGGAACATTATCAACTTGTTCAAATTAGATTTGCCATTTGGAAACTGGCAATTATATTCCTTCCGTTCCTTCCAGCCAAGCCCCCTCCCAAGAGAATTTAAAGGGCACTCAAAGCATCCAGCTTTAATTCTCCAGGATGGAGAGAGTCAGGCTCTGGAGCCCTGTTTCCAAACAAGCAGCATCGGATCAGAACGGTACGCCACTATAATCAATCCCAGCTGTCTTTCCAAAGAGATGTCTTAATATCTGCTACTTATCAGATTACTGGGGCTCCAAAAGTTTCTTATGAAACAATTCCTCCATCCAATTTACCCCTTGGTGACCCTCCCCAAATTTTAATGGTAAATGGAACAACAGTACTTTTGCTGAGCTGGGCTGCCTGGGAAATCCTTCTACTCACCATAGGTGACTGGGAAAACTACCTTAGCAAGTTTTGTTTAAACATATTTAATTTTTTTTATAGAACTGCAAGATGGACTGGATTTAAATTGTGATTAGATTTAAATAAAAAATAATTTTTTAATTTTAAATCATG